ACACGTCATCGAGGGCGGTAAGGTAGAGGCCGAGGCGGTGCTGGCACGCCGAGAGGAAGGTATCGGAGGGGATGATGGAGCGAGGCACGGTGGCGTCGGGCAGGCGGAGCAGCCAAGCTCCCGAGCCCACCTGCGAGTGGCTGATGAGGGAGGTGGCCTCCCGGTGCGGCACGGTGGCGCCGGCGTTTTGTGAATCGAAGGAATCGCACGCGTCCTTGGCGTCCAGCCACGCGTCGCGTTGTTGACGACAGCCGACAGCGAGTGCTGTGAGAGGCACGAGGAAGATGTGCCGTCGGCGTCACCCAACAGGGCGGCGAGGGGCGGAAGCTGGAAGCCGCGCTTGAGGTGCGGGTGGTAGGCGGAGCGTGTGGTGCCGTCGACCCAGTGACGAACCTGTTCGTCGAGGGCGGCGTGGCGGGTGCGTACATCGGCGAGGGCGGAGTCGATGACGCCGTGGGCGGCGACGAGAGCGGTGGCGGTGGCGGTGTTTGGGGGGGTAAGGGACATCTCCCCGAGCGCAGGGTAGACCCTGGCGCACGCCCTCTGGGAGGTGACGGCAGAGGCGAGGAAGCTGGGGAATCGGCGGCGAGCGTAGTCGGACATGCCAATGCCGCCATTCTTGCCCGTCTGCTTCGCGCGGGGGGCGGCGCTCTGTCGCCAGGGCTGCGGCCGAAGTCAAGGATGAGGGCGGCGGCGTTGCCGGTCGCCTCATCGGCGAAGGCGGCGGCGCCCTCGGTCTGGGTTGGGGGCATCGTGCGCATCCAGTGGTTTGTTTGGGATCGAGCAGGCGCAGAGGCGAACGAGCTGCAGCTGGAGCAGTCGGGCGTGCCTAACGCGGCCCGAGTCCCTCATCCTGACAATGTAGGAGAGCGGCTTCTCGAGCTTGGCCCGTGCCCCCGGTTTTATATAACGTCCGGGTCTTTTTTTTCTTGCGCCCGCGGTTGTAACGGTCCGGGGCAACGTCCGCTCTCTTTTTGCCTGGGTTTTTTCTTCTTTTAGGACGGCTGCATCTACTCGAGTACCCAGTCCTTTCCGTCGGGTTCGCCGTCTTCGGTGCGGGCTCTCTCGGCTACGGGACCGGCCCCAGCTTCGGCTGAGGGCTAACAAGTCTTCGGCCGATGGAGGCGGCGCTCCGCCTGCCTTAACCCTTCTCCGGCCCCGCTCACCGCGGACGGGCGGGCCGCGCTGATCGTGGTCGACGTGCAAACTGGTGGTGGAGTCTGAGCCCC